AAAATAAACGTTTAATAAATGTGCTGCTTCCGAAGCGCTTTGCTGGATCTACCTTCATCAGGAACGATTAAAGTCAAATATTTGAAAACCAATGATGTATAAAATCATAAACACACGAAGAGCTATATGACCAACGGGAGTCTAAAAATAATTGAAAAATCCATTCAATTTCAACATGGCCTGAGAACTTGGAATTTATAATTTTCGGAGGGGGGGGGGGGGGGGGGCTTGTGAAAATAAATATCATAGCCTGGTAAAAGTTGAAAATAAAGAATTTTGCCCAAGATATGATGAAAATGAATATTCTGCAACACAAAATGAAAATAATTGTTAACAAACGGAAATAAAATAAGCATGCGTAGCAACAGTTATATACGCAAAAATTTCTTCTGTCCCCTTCCCCTTTTCAGAATATTTAATGGGCATTCCCTAAGAAATGTATGTAATAAGGTATGTCAGTACCAAGTAGTGAGCTGATGATACCATTGGAGACTAATAGTCCATCAGCAGTGGTATCGACCCAGTGCTATAAAAAATGAAAATAATCTTCAGTTGATAAAAATTGCTGTATTTGAAGCGCATTTCTGTATTGCCCTTCATAAGAAACGCTCAAAACCAACTATTTGAAAGCCAAGATTGTATAAGAACAGAAATACATGAAGAGCTGTATGACCAAAACGGACCTTAAACAACAACAAAAATCTGTCTAATGTCAACTTTGCCTGAGTAAGTTGGAACCTTAGTTTCTTAATAGTTTCTTAATTCATAAACGGACAATATAAAGGTGTGTTACAAATCATGTCAGTACCGAAATATCGACTACTGAGCTGATGATACCTTTGAAATGGAGAAAATACCACAGTAATGTAGGTCCAAGAACGACAGGCAACAACATGGCCGAAAGAAGAAGAGACAAACAACAGGTTACAGAAAAGTACAAAAAAAGTTATTGTTTATATTTTAGCACCCAGTCATTCTTTATTCTCTAATGTATACCCATTATTCTATTTTTAAAAAATATATATGTAAGCCCCCATGAAGACCCTCGTGTATAAGTCTTTCACATACATGTATTGGAATTTTTCGGGTCTTTTTAACGATCATGGATAGCTTGTGTTTTTCTAGAAGTAATAAATATTCCAGTTATTTTTATGGAATATTCAATCAACTTATTTATTGGTTGTGACTTAACATCCAGTGGCAAATATTTCATGCATATTCACGGCTATATCATATAATAAGATATGAATAAACACTAATATGTGCCTGAATTAACAGATTTTTTACATGCTGGCCTGCACATTTATTTTTGGTTCGTTGAAAAAAATTCGCCCCTGATACATCATTCCGATCCGGAGCCTACAGTACAAGTCTCGGATATGATAATTAAATGGTGTTTTCTTAGCAAAGAATTAATAAATATCAATTTAAGTCTTTCAGAAAACATTATCACTGGCGTTGCGAGCACGATACGATGATCTTCCCCTGATTTTAAGGAGAATTCGGTGTAATCTTGTTAGTGGTATTGCATAAGGCATGTCTCCGTGATGAAGTTAATTGAATAAGCCTTATCGCATATGTTCACATGAAAAAAACATTTCACAGTCCGGACTTGTAAATTGTAAATGACCTTCGGCTTTATAAATTTAGAGCAAAATACGACTTACCCATTTTTATTATTTCTCATTCGGGTAATTTTTTAGTAATTAATGTCCAGGATTTTATTCTGCAGATTAATATAAAAATAAAAAGATGTGGTAATTATGATTGCCAATATAACAACTATCCATTAAAGACCAAAACATAAATGCTGAACAATTTCAAATCATCTTATGGCATTCAGCAATGAGCAAAACCCATACCATTTAGAAAGCTATAAAAGGCCTCGGGATGACAATAAAACGAACATAAGGAGATGTAGTATGATTGTCAATCCATCTTACGGCCTTCAGTAATGAGCAAAAACCATACTGTATAGCAAGTTATTCTCTGGATGACAAAATGTGAAGATTTTTTAAACAGAAAACTAACGGCCTGAGCTGGGTTTGTACCTGTACCAAGTCAGGAATATGACAGTTGTTGTCCATTCGTTTGATGTGTTTTATCATTTGATTTTGCCATTTGATTAGGGACTTTCCGTTTTGAATTTTCCTCGGAGTTCAGTATTTTTGTGATTTTACTTTTTGAATAGGAACCTGCTTAAGATTATTGATAAATGCATAATCTACTAATTATAGACTGTGAGGTATTTTTTTCTTTTATAGAAGGAACTAAAGAATGACCAACATCTTTTAAAAGAATAGAAAAGTGAAAACAGAAACGGGTATTACGATATAATCAGACACAGCCTGCAATTCAGTGGTTGTGGTTGGTTCATGTCGGTCATATTTGTTTTTCATAAATTGTTTTGATATAAATTAGACCGTTAGTTTTCTCGTTTTAATTGTTTCACAATTATCATGTCGAGGCCTCTTATAGCTGACTATACGGTATGGGTTTTTCCCATTGTCGAAGGCCGTACAGTGACCTACAATTGCATTTATCTTCGCCATTTAAACTTTAATAGGTAGTTGTCTCATTTGCAATCATACCACATCTTCTTATTTTTATACAGAATAAATGTGATATATTTTTAGATGAGTTATATGGTATCAAAGGTTCGTATTAATTAGTGTCTATCATTTTATTCTGATGATACACTTTTTCATTATGAAGTTACATAAGTTGTCTTTCATTGGACTATTCTTAGAAACGATAGGTTTAAGCATAGGAGAGTTCTGAGATATTTGATATTTGTGTTTTAATGAAGAGGTTGAACAATTGGTATCACGTGACATTTTCATCTGCCTAGTTTTTCAAACAGGCGAATTAAGCAAAGGGATGCTTTTAATACATTTCAACTATTATATTTGTATCACGTGATATTTTCATCTGCGTAGATTTTTTCCAACAGACGAATTATAAGCAAAGGGATGCTTTTAACATGTTTGATAGAGTTACACCAGAAATATTTTACCACACTTTTCGATTTTGACTTCCTTACCGTGACGAAAACTTACGGTAAGGTAACATTACATTTTCATGTAGTAGACGATGTTGTGTTTATCCAAACACTGCAGAGATTTTGATGTTATCGTGTGAATAATGTGTGTAAAATGGAACCTGCCTGGGGAGAAAACAGGCTATATGTTCTTTTTTTACCTGGTCCGATTAGGTGGTGTTGCATCTTACAAGGTCTATCCAAATTGTTTTTGCAAAGAATTCCGCTCAAGCCGGTTATAGGGGCCGTCTTAAACTTGCAGTGAGGTGAGAGTTGTTTTTTTTTGCGCCGTGATGAAGTCCTCACTGTGACTTTGAGATGAAGAACAGCAATAAAAGCGCTGTTTCTTTGCTTTTTGTGTGTTTTTTTGCTGTGCATGTACTGATTTTGTGTCATGGATGGATATCCCGTATCCTTTGTTTTTCTTTTATATCCGAACTAAAGTTTTACTTCAGTTGTAGTATGTAACATCATCATTAAAAAAATTTCGGCACTAATTTTTATGGTTTAACTGTCTTTTCTGTACTCTTTGTTATACTGCCGATTGAGATAAAAAAAAAAAAAAAAAAAAAAGGAAGGTATGTTAACGCTCAAAAAACAAATTTATATAGTCATGTTTTTCGTATCTTTTACGGCACATGGCCCTCGTTGGTATGTTTATCCGTCTATATCTTAGTAGCTTTTTTTCTTTAAATAATTTGGTGCTCATTGTAGACCTTTTATAGTCTTTGTTTAATTTATTGTGTAAAGTTAATATTCATAGAAAACACTATCAATATACAATATGTTTAGCTCTTCTAGATTCCGGGCTTTGCACAGCCTTACGTATGGTACTTAATTCAAAACTATATACACATCTCGTGGAACTTCGTGAGTTTATCATAACTGGGTGCTGTTTCATTAATATACACCTAGTACCTTTCCTTTTCGTTATATTTCTTAACATCATCCGCTATACTGAAATGTTCATCACTAAAGAGTGTTTCTTTTTCCTTTTTTGTGAAGCTCAAGTACTTTTTAATTGTGTCTATGAAATGAAAATATAGTTTTCATTTTTGGTTGTAAGATCGAATGATCTCGTGTAATTGCAAAGAAAAATATCAAATTATATGTAATTTGAAATTTCACAGTAAAACTATCGGAGTACATGTACGATAAGGCTAAACGGCGGGAAAATGCGTGCATAAAAATAAAAATTATATTTTTTTACTTTTTTTTGTGTCTTATTCACGATTGTAGACATAAAAGTAATTTTAAGGTTTCACCGATATACCAAATTGAATAGAAATAAAATAAATGTCTAAACTGATCTACATGTTAACTTGTATAATTATAATTACTACTTCCGCTATGATAATATAGAAATCGCCAGTCATTCTTTTCTTTGTGTTTCTATATTTGTAAAATACTGTTCTCTTCCTTTAAAAGATGTTTTTGTGGGTGATAAATGGTCAGGAAATTTGTTTCTTTATACAGTATTGTCCAATCGACTGGAACCGCTTTGGTGGTTTTGTGGTAGCTTGCTCGCCTATAGTGCGGGAACTCGTGGGATCGATTCCCGACCGTGTTAAACCAAAGATTTATTTTGGCATTTGATGCTTTTTAGCTAATCACGCATCATTAAAGAGTAAGAGTAAAGACTGGTTGACCCGGAGACAAAAAATGTGTCCGGGTATTATGTATTCCTGCAAACTGTTACATTGTGAGCTAGCACGTTTCAAATCCGGTTCTAGTCGGTCTAGTACAAAGCAGGTTTAGTATTCATAATTACCACATTTACATGTTTTCATCCTGAATATGCATTTTTATTGTTCACTAGACGTTTTATAGACATCCATTATCACCTAATCGATTGGTACTCTAAAAAAATATCTTAAAATTTCGATCTGTTTATATCTGAAACCTGTTGAAAGGAGTATGGAGTTAAGTGTCAAAAATACGATAAAAATGACAAAGTATACATATTTCACTATTTTATTAGCATTCATATACATTATTTAGAGTCCTTTTACGTATATAAGGACTATTTTTTTTCTTCACAATAGTGGTTTTTTCATTACTTAAAATAGGAATATCAAGCAACATCATTTAAAATATTTGCACAGAAAAGTAAATATTTTACATAAAATAAATAAAGTATTTGGCTTTAAATATGTTTTTTTTTTTAATTTCAGACATACATCATTGGATAGAACTGAGTATTGGTCAGGTCGATTGTATTAGCATTTCATGTTGTCATTGGAATCAATCACAACGTAATACACAACCCTAAAAGACACCATTTTTACAATTTGTACCTATACTTGTACGCTCCAGCAGCCTCTAACGCTTTCAATTATGCCCTATTTGATTTTTCATATGTTTACACACCTAAGCTTCCCCTTGTAATGTTAATTCAAGCACGAATTTTTCAATCTGTAAATTTTCATTTCAAAGTGTATGTCTAAATGTTTTTAGATTTTAACAGTGTTTACTCATTGAAGATGCTTGCTCCTCTCTAATTTCCAAATTTCTTCTAATAAAAAAAAAAAATTCAATGAGAATTAACATGTTAACAATTATAATAATTGTATTCCAATCTAATGTTTTAATTAATTCAACAAATTTTGAAAAGGGAATTCAAAATTGTATTCCTATCTTGTCTTGACTCCATTTTCTATTTATTATGGATAATTAATCGTCATTTTTATTAGTTTATTATAAGAAGACACACCCAAAAAATATTAAATAGAAATGAAATGGAGCAGAATGAGTTGACAAGTGCATGCACCTCTTTGAGACATCATATAGTATCACAGATTTAAGCGTAAGCTTACTACATTATGTTATGATAACACTACTGTCAAATTTAGCTATAAGCTATAAAAATTAATAAGCATATACGAACGTGTTGTTAAATACAAAAGGTCAATATAGTAAACCATGGTTGACTTCTTCCAACGTAATGCCCGCAGTGTAGGCGGTTTACTCCAACGATTGTACGTCTTCTATTTTTAAAACAATATTTTGTTTACATGTCTACTGCTCCTCAGCCTCTTCTCCTTTCTTTTTTCCTTTTCTCTTCCCTTCTTGTTTTGGTAAAGGATGAGATTGCCAATGTCGTCTTCCCTGAAAACTCCAAGTCCCCTGAGTTGTCGTAGGTTGCCAACCACTACTTCTGGAATGCCGTGAATCATGCCACGTTCTAGGCGATGTTGGTCCGTTTTGCCGATGCCCACTATTCCCCCAGTGGTTGTTTGGAGGTGTTGAATCGTGTGGATGTTGTCGTTGATGATGTTGCATGCTTTGTGGATTAGTATGATGTGAAGGATGATTCCAGTTATTATGATCGTTGTTTCTGTTTGACTGTGCATGCCAGCTATCTACTCGCCGCCTTTCAAAACCAACATCTTGGTGCTGATTCCATCCTGGTGACTGTGAAGATCGCCTAGCATCATTTGGTGATTGATGAATAAGATGGGGGTTCCATTGGTTGTTTGGAGAATTGTGTGACATATGCGACGACCTCCAATCAACGACCTGTGATGCCTGCGATTTGTGAATATTGTTAGTTGTATCTGACCTTGTCACTATTGGTTTTCGTGGATCAAAAGAATTTTCCTTCATATTTGGATTTTGTTTGGTACTGCTTTCGTGGTTATTGTTAGAATTTCCTATATGTGATAGTTTTGATTCTATTAGCTTTTCGATTGACGTTAGCAGTGACTTTACGTCAGAAGGTGCAGCCGTAGTTGTAATAGGTGTATTTGTTTGCTTTTCTACTGGAGAAACAGCATAACCATGACTTGAAGCATCTTTATTTAAAGAGGCGTACAGGTCTACCAATGCTTTATTTGCATTAGAAGAATTTCCAGAGTTTCCAGAGAATGCAGATGCAATTTCGTTTCCGATTTCATTAATCTTGATATTAGTTTTAGAATTAATATAACATCCACACTGGCATACCGATTCCACACATTGTCCTTGTACACACTTACTGACACACCATGCACCAATTGATTTCATTGACGTAAACATTCCTACTCCTTCACATCCAAAATTAGGAAGCTTGGGATGACATTGATGTGATGTGTTTTGTATATTACTTGATGGTGCTTGTTGATGACTGACTGTACTTGTTATCGTCTCATGATTTGGTGTAACATGATGACTAACTGGTATATTATGGTGTTTGGTAGCCTCGTTTCCGTGAAGGCGATGGGTATGTTCATTTTGATTAGTTCGTAGATGTCCATTATGATTATTTGACATGTTTGGTTGATTGGATGGCTCCTGATGATGCTGATTTGTTTGATGTTGAATGTGTGGGTTGCTGAACACAGGTGGTTTAACTGAGTTAACATCATTTTGACGATGACTTGGGTCTTGATAATGCAGATTTGATTGATGACCTCCCTGCTGATTATGAATTTGATAAGAAAATGCATTATTTTGGTTAGTATGTGGATTTTTCAAGTGCTGGTTGGTTCGGAGTTGACCAAAATCATTACTTGGCACATGTGGCTGTGTAAAATGTGGTTGGTTCGAAAATGCAGTATTATGCTGATTGCTTGGATTGTGATTGAATTGATTCGTTACATGTTGTCGATATTCTATATTTGGCAAATGTTGTTGATTCGGATGTGCATTGTGATGAGAATGGTGATTATGATGAGATGGATTTTTATATTGCCATTGTGAATTGCTATCAAATTGCCCTTGCGTTGTCATCGTCATTGGCGTAGTTCTAATGGGTAATTCTTCGCCTTCTAATTCGTCAGGTTCTATAAATGGTGTAGTAGGTAAAGGCTTAGGAGTAGTTCTTTGCTCTGTTAATAACTTGTTCACCATGTGCTCAATTCGTTGAAGTCTGTCTGTTAGCGGGTTTACTTTTGTGTGCTGTTTCGATATAGGCATTATCCTTACAGGGTTGATTTCTGTGTGTTTGAAATTTACATTACTGTTTGAGTTTGGAATGTTATTTATTGTCATTGGTTGAATAGCGGGCAATGAAGCATGTGTATTGTACGGTATCATATTAATTATGTAACTAGCAGTTGTTGTTGCCGGATTTTGTTTTATTTCGACTTTCGATAAATATGAATTTGGTTTTTGAGACTGCGATATAACTCCATGTTGATTCAGGGTATTTGTCGTCCTGGAAATCTGGTTTCCCTTAATATCCAAAATGAGACTATTTCCAGAAGGAATTTTAACATTGTTGACACTTTTGGCTTTTGCTAAGTCATACTCATAATATGATGGAAAGTTTTCCATTTGAATATCATTATTTCTGTTCACCTGTGTATCTGAATTGACTGGTGTTTTATTAACATCAAACTGATGGACTGAATTTTCCTGTTGTTTAATTTTCAACTGCGAAAGACTTTGGGTTGTATGAACGTTACCACTTTGACTTGTCTGTGGATTTAAAGACGAATGTGGTTGCTGTAAAGTTGGATGAGGATTAACATCTGGTAGCAGTTGTGTTATTGGCTGGACCGTAAGTAACTGATTCGGCTTATGATGGGTGTTATGCATTGTCCTGCGGTTATCATTTTTCAAATTTTTCATTTCTTGTGATAACATAGGCACAGCTTGCATTGGAATGCCTGGTAAATATCCATTTTGTATAATTGTAGCAGTTTGTTCCTTGCCAGAAAGATGTTTATGAAATAACTCATCAGGACTACTTGTTGCAAGTTTAACCGTTGGGTTGGAGTGTTCCTTGCCAGATAGATGTCTATGAAGTAACTTATCAGGACTACTTGTTGCAAGTTTAACCGTTGGGTTGGAGTCTTTTATCAAAGGTGTGCTTTTTGAATTAAGTACCTCTATTGGTATACTAGAATTAGAACCCGGAAGTTGAAATAATAATTTAAAGCCTCCTTTTACTGCAGAATTCTGAAGTGAGGATAAAATATCATTTAATGTAGCGGCATTGGTTACTTGCTGGTGATATTGATTTCGTACTGGAGGTTTTGGTAACGGAGTTGTTAAAACATGCGCAGTTGTAGGCGGAAGTGTTGTCGGGATAGGTGTCGTAGTTGGTGGATTAGTGGGATCTGGAGGATCAGTAGTGTCGCCAAACATCATTTCCTGTAAAAACTCTGATGGAAGTCTAAACCCGAAAGGTGATGTTCCAAACTGATTGTTGGGCATAATTCTGTGACCCATAGGTGCCTGTGCGGGCTGATTTATGCCCATAATACTGTTACTCATAGGTGCTTGTCCGGGCTGATTTATGGGCATAATACTGTTACCCATATGTGCCTGTCCGGGCTGATGTATGGGCATAATATTGTGACTCATAGATGACTGTCCGCGCTGATTTATGGGCATAACACTGTGACCCATAGATCCCTGCCCGGGCTGATTTATGGGCATAATACTGTGACCCATAGTTGCCTTTCTGGGCTGATTTTTGGGTAACGTATGTTGTAAAGGTACAGCATTATTCATAAAAACTGGTTGTCCTGTTAAAGCCTCCAATGATGCTAAAGTACTGCCGGTGTGTTGAACTGGTGCATTTACTACATGTGGTTCTTGTTTACTATTTTGTGCCGTGTTTTGATTCAAAACGTTTGGTAACACGTTTAGATTTTGATTGACATTTGGAGGTTGTGATATCCCTGTTTGCTGTATACGTTGTTGTTCAAGGCTAACATGTGGATGAATTTCCGCGGGTTGTATATTCGCACTTGATGGTTGGTTTAAGCTGTGTTCCGAATTTGCACCACTAGCTAGAGATGTCGATTCTGCTTGTTTTAACATAGTTTGTAAAAGTGCAATATCCTCTAATAACTTTGATGATGATGTCTGTTGAGTATTTAAAGAATTAATATTGTTTCTTAATGTCTCTTCCTGTCGTTTTAAATCAATTAACAATGCCTTTTCTTTTTCTATCTTTTGATGTAAAATCTTCAAATCCGTATCAACTGTCGAATGCACGACAGGTTGTTCGACTACTGTTGGAACATGTGTTCTTAGTCTAGTGTTCATTTGTCGTATCTGTCGTTCTGTTTGTCTATTTTTAGTTCTTGTTCTAGTGTTCAGTTGTTGTACATGTCGTTCTGGTTGTCTATTGTCAGTTCTTGTTCTAGTGTTCAGTTGTTGAAACTGTCGTTCTGGTTGTCTATTTTCAGTTCTTGTTTGAGTGTTCAGTTGTTGAACATGTCGTTCAGGTTGTCTTATTTCTGTTCTTGTTCTAGTGTTCAGTTGTTGAACCTGTCGTTCTGGTTGTCTATTTTCAGTTCTTGTTCTAATGTTCAGTTGTTGAACCTCTCGTTCTGGTTGTCTTATTTCCGTTCTTGTTCTAGTGTTCAGTTGTTGAACCTGTCGTTCTGATGGTCTCCTTTCAGTTCTTGACCGAGTAAATTGTCTTGGTATTTCTATTTCTGTTGTTTGAATTGTGTTGTCTGGTTCAGTAAACATTTTCGCTCGAAATAAAGTGTTTGACCATTTCTGTCCATCCCCTGGTCTTTGTACAGGAACCCCTGGCAGTATTCTTGGAGACTGGCTATGTGTTGTTCTCGGTTCGCTGAATATTTGCGTGTTCTGGGAATTAGGTCTAGATCTCGTGGTCAAAGAGTTGATATTCTGGGAGGTTGTTCTAGATGGCTGAATCCCTTGACGAGAAGATGTTTGATGACCTACTGATCTATGATTTGTACTTGAAGTAAATGCTGAACCTAATGTGACATCTCTGAGACTTTCAACATTATTTTGTCTTGTATTTATAACTGGAGAACCGCCAATCCGCGAAGTGCTGTCAGCTTGATTTCCTTGACCTGCTCTATCTGTTGGTGAACTTTCTTGACCGTTTAATGATCGCTCTATTGATCGAAGGTATCTACGTACTTGTCTGGAAGTAAATGGATTGACTGCCAGCGATCCAGGGGTTATTTGTACAAGTTGTGGTCTACCACTCTCCATGTTAAAAGCTATACCTCGAGGGAGTTGTCCTGTTCTTAGTACATAACGGAACGTTGTACGCAAATCGACAAGAAGTTTTCTTCTTATCCGAGAAATAGCCGTTCCAGAATTTAACGAAGTTCTATGTCGCACTCGATCACGTGATCGGCGTGGTTGGGAAACTTGTTCTGAGATACGAGAATTAATTACGTCATCCAGTGTCGTTCTTGTCTGTTGGTTTTCATTCCTTCGTGTATTTCCAAATACAGGGTCTGATACACTCGTGATAGTTCTAGATAAATCATTATTTCCATTTAAAGGCCTGTTTCTTACAAGTTCATTCTGTAGATCTGTTCCCATGAATCTGTTTCTGTCACCATTACTATTTCGGAGATCGTTCGGGCTGACAATATTTCTGTGTCTTGAACTAATGGAAGGAATGTGAATGGCTCCTGGTCGTAAACTTATCTGTAATAAATGTGATAAATATTTTAGTTCACTGTGTGATAGAATCCCGATTAAAAGACATCGCAAAGAAAGTAATAATATAAGGTATATAAGGTAGGTTTACAACTGTCATACAAGTGGGAGTTTAGCTAGCTATAAAACCCATCATTTTTTTTCGGAAAATGCCTGTACCAAGTCAGCAATATGGCAGTTGTTTTTTTCACTTGTTCGGATGATTGATACCGTTTTATTTTGTAAGTTTTGGATTTACCTTATAGTTCGGTATTTTTTTATATACTTTTTTACTACTATTTTTTTTTAAATTACTTTAATTAGACAACTATCCACCAAACATGTCAAAAACTAATGGACAAGAACGTGAGCCTATACAGATCACAGTACGGCCTTCTTCACTGACAAAACCAATACCATTTAATAAGCTATTATAGGCCCTATGATGAAAATGTGAAACAGTTTAAAAGAGAAAACCAATATAAAAAAGAAGATGTGGTATGATTGTCAATGAGACAACTCTCCACAAGAGACCAAATGACACAGAAATTAACAACTATAGGTCACTGTACGGCCTTCAACAATGAGCAAAGCCCATACCGCACAGTCAGCTATAAAAGGCCCCGAAATGACAATGTAAAACAATTCAAACGAGAAATGTTTTTTTCTTAAATTGTATCGATGGCATACCTTAAAGAACTTTTTATGCTTCCTGGGTTTTTCTTTTTTGTCTTTATGTACGAAGTCGTTTACACATGCACATCTTGTAGTAAACAGTGAAACAACTAAATAATACTCATATTACAAATGCAATGTTCGAGGTCATATCTTTGTACAAATTTGTCACAAAAATTCACAACAGTCATAAAAAGAGGATAAACCTAATATGCTGTAAGATCATAAAAACATACTTTATATTAATGCAAATTTACGCCTTCACCTGACCGATTACCATAAAAATTTACAAATATCTTAAATTTAATGTTACTGTAATAACATCATATAAATGAAACAAAAAGAACATAAGACAATAATTCAGGAGCCGAAAAAGTATAGACAACATCAAGACCAAAAAAAAAAAGAGACAAACCATTAATGGTACAAGGTAAACGAAAGATTAAGTAAGAGACACAAAACCTAGAGAACACATCGTAGGAACCCGGATGTTCCGAATGAGTAAGCTATCAGCTCCATTACAGGCAGTGCAGTCCCAATATCAAACTAATTATTGATTAAAATTAGTGTATCTATTTTGCAAAATTAGCAACATGAACAGTTAGAAGGACTAAAAAGAAGATCTAATTAATTACTAATTTTAAAATCCATTAATTTCAAAGGTAATGTTACTGTAATAACATCATACAAATGAAACATAAAGATCATAAGACAATAATTCAGGAGCCGAAAAAGTATAGACAACATCAAGACCAAAAGAAAAAGAGACAAATCATTAATGGTACAAGGTAAACGAAAGATGAAGTAAGAGACACAAAACCTAGAGAACACATCGTAGGAACTCGGGTGTTCCGAATGAGTAAGCTATCAGCTCCATTACAGGAAGTGCAGTCCCAATATCAAACTAATTATTGATTAAAATTAGTGTATCTATTTGGCAAAATTAGCAACATGAACAGTTAAAAGGACTAAAAAGAAGATCTAATCAATTACTAATTTTAAAGGTAATTAACTACCCGTGTGATTGTAATTGACTGCAATTTTATATAATATTGGTGAACGTATATCTTTAACGATTTACAGTCGAATCAGCAAAGCAAAAGCTCGAACACATAATGAGTGTCCCAAAATGAGTGAGAAAAATCCATTAAGGGTATATAAATAAAGATTGGAATTGGTCTCTCATTTATTAAATATTTTCATTAGTGGTAAATTAAAATGTGAAATTGTCTTATTATTTTATCTAAAATGATTGATAAGCAATTTTGCGCTGCAACTTAAATTATTTAAACGATAAATTTAGGAAATATTGATTTGCTGTGCAATACAATATTCTTCTAACTTTTAGTTTTCATTTTATATTTGGTGTAAATTAAAATGTAAAAATGTTCTTGTGAGTTTGATTTGTTGACAGATGCATGTATATGTATATCATATATCAATTATGTTGCTAAATTATAATGAAATTTGTATCCGCTTTCCGAAAGACGTATCTATGCCCGTATTGTTGTTGTCCTCCGGATATTATAAATAAATAGCAAACAATAGAATCATGTAATAATTAATCATAAAATAAGAGTTTAAGTGTGATCAGACAATAAAAAAATTGACATGTTGTAATTGTCACCGTTTGTACATTTTGATACATACTGTATCCGTGGAAATGCATGTAAAATAATACACGTGAAATATTAATTATAATTATTATCTTTTCCCCCCAATTATTGACAAACGATAAGAATGTCGACACGACACGATTGCGTTTAAAGTAAAAATAAAGAATTTAATTTCAGAAGTGGTAGGTTGAATTTTTGAGAGAAAAAAAATCTTTTTATGTTAAATTTGAATATGAAAAACATACATTTAATTTATTAATCAAATACTAATGTTTTTCAATTAAGAACTCACATGTTGAAAAACCTCGTTAAATGAAATATCAAGAATGTCATGTTTAACATTTAAATTTTGAATTTTACAAATTTTTTAACATCATGTATTTCATGTAATTACCTTTCCAAAGGAATATTTTATCTCATTACAACAATGCAAAAATTACATATGTTTTATTAACTGATTATCACAATTTATAGATGATTAATGTGGTCAATTACACATATTTTTTTTTCAATTAGAAAGCAAGGAAAATTTAAATGATTGTACTTCTTAATTATATACGAAAAAACATCGGAAAGAACAATAAATTG